GGGGGGTGAGACCGCAAAAGAAACCATTTAGCCCAGCATGACATACTTATTTGTTCATTGTGCCTGGAGTGCCAGGTAAGTACATGTATTGACCTACTAATGAATGTATGAACACACTCAATAGTAAAACACAGTGTTTTATCAACCACGTCAAAGAAAATTGTGATTTATATTACCCCTTCATTGCTACTGCTAATTCACAGGGTCAATTCCCTACCAGACATAAAAAATCGAAACGAACATGACTGGAGTAGGAGACCTCAGGGTAAGGGGGTAGGGGTTGGGTGTGGTACAGGATGTCACAGAAAAATACTCGAATTAATAATTATTATTCATTTCTCGACAGTCTCCTGAGCCTGCACAGTCCTTGATTTATTCTCCATCACCCCTAATTTCTGCCGTTTTATGACAAGAAAAACAAAACAAAAAGCAACAATAAAAAACAAAACAAACAAACCCGAGATATTATGCATAATGAGGTCAAGTAGCGTTTTCAATCAGGGGAGAAAACCCTTTTCATGACGAGTCTCTTTGTTTTGGTTTTATGGCTGTACTATTAAAATCAAGGAAGTTTTTTTGTTTTTTGGAAAATATGTGTTGTGACCTAGTTGCCTATCGACGTTGTTTTAACAAAAGTAATTTTAATCAATTACTTCACAACTATTTACTGTGGACCCCAGCAAATCAGACAAAAGTTAGACCGGCCAATGAATATTGACACAAAATAAACAGATCGCCCAAATGTGAGGCAGCGTGGTGGAATCAGGCTCTTGTCAAAATAGTGAAATCGAAGAAAACAGCAGTTCTTTCCCTGCTTAGCAATTTTTATCATTTTTTTGTTTTTTGGCTCAACACCTTTTATGTCCATTTACACACACATTCCTTTGAGGACTTCACCGAAAACGTTGATTAAAGGCACAAAAATATAAATTTACAGTTTCCATGGACTCTCCAGCTTTGGAATTTACCAAGATTTGGCGGCCATTTTCTCGATAATTTTACCTCTTAAATCAGGTGACCCCTACCTCCTTCAATCCAAAATATCTCCACTTCTATTGAAGATGGATGGGTAATTTTTTCATTAAAAGCAAGACAAATGAACAAGCTTTATGATGATACCAATAACTCAATATGCCCAAAAATTGACGAGAGCCTGATTCCACCACGCTGCCTCACAAATTTTTGTTAAGTTAAAACACACACAAAAAGGTTAATTTTTTTGCTTGCCTTTCTTGTAAAATTTCATTTTTGGCACGTACGTTTTTCTGTCATGAGACAGCAGATTTAATTAGTAAAATAAATGGCTTTACCTGCTATGGGTTTTTGTTGTTTCGTTGTTGTCTCCAGTTTTTTGTGCCTTGACCACGTTTCTGCGCAATCTTTCAACAACATTTGGACACTGGGATTGCTTTGAAAATAGCACGAGGTACACGTTCAACAGTATGAGAATAAAACATGTCAGTTGAAGGCTACAGTTTTTCAAACTACGTTTTCCTAGCATTGTCTTGCGTGAGGGTATACTGTCAAACACACTTGAGAATTATTGGAAGTCGATGTTTGCGTGACTTCAAGAGTTATCCCTTCACAGAGTTGTTTATCGTCTGAAGTTGTTGTGAGCAGTTCCTCCTAACACCGGGCAAACATCAGCCAGATCTGAAAACCAACAATAAGAAAACAAACGGGAAAATTAACGATAAAAGGACCGGCCAAATTGTTTGCTTCTGTGGAAAAAAATGAAAGAAAACGAACAGAAAAACATGCAGTCAAAGATTCTATAATTCTATACTTAGCACATTTGACGTAATTTCCTGTTACCTTCTCACAAGAGATTACTGAATTCTTTTTTTTTTTTAGGGGGGAGGGGAATATCTTTAACCTTTATACGAGCTATGGAGCACCCCTGAGGAGCTAACACGATGCCGTCTTGGGGACAGTGTGGAGGAGCCAATAATAATAATAATAATACATTTTTAGATACATCGATACTTATGTTTTCCACTGGGTTGTCCCTCCCTTGTACGACCCAAACAGTTTTTAAAAAATATTTTATGTTAGGGTCAGGGTTAAGGTAAGGGTTAGGGTCAGGGTTGAGGTTAAGGTTAGAGTTAGGATTACGTTTCGTGTTAGGGTTCAGGATAAGGTCAGAGTCAGGGTTAAGGTAAGGTTTATTGTTGAGATTAGGATTAGGTCTAGGGTTAGGGTTTTTGTGTTATCAGATTTCTAAACATCCTTCGGCTTCCGAGAGTTTAGGTTCAGTGAATTTGGAGTAAGTTCCATTCGTATAGTATGATCACAAGCATTGTAGCAGTAGCTATTTCTGTTGGCATGCCCTTTGTATAAGTCACTGAGGAAAGAACAAAGATAAACGCGTTTGCTCCTCTGCATTCGAGACAACTATAATACTCGCTTTGCCCCGTTTAGTAATTCAATTTAGAAGGTAGAACACCAAGTCCCCTGTAAAAAAATTGGTTTGAGCCGATAGAACACTTGAAAATTAATCCATAATCTTTCCAGAACTCAAATATTGAACTTTAAAAAATCTTCTTTTTTTTAGAGACACACACACAAACACACACACACACACACACACACACACACACACACACACACACACACACATTTAAACTGCTATCACCTAACCAAACATACATCGTCACACTTTGCGTGACTATAATATCATTATGATTATAGTTGCCATAAAAACACGATCATATTCCAAATGGACACAACGCCACTAGACAAATAAGCAAGGTAAAATATGTTAGATTGCGTCCCCTTTAACTACAAGTTCAAAGCTTCTTCAACATTAACTCTCCCGTGTCTGTTCTGTATCAGTGTCTTGAGTCATTTCCACAATTTTCTTTACACCACTTTCATTGATGTTATTTATTCTGTTTGAAGAAAGGCTATACCATAGTAAAACATAAAGTTTAATAGTTGGACCACTAAGTGTCGCCTTACAGGGGAAGTAGTCCGGCGACTATGGTGGAGAGGTTAGGCGGTTCGTCGTCGTTCACAGAAGACCCGAGTATCTCCGTCTTTCTGCTGGGAAGTTGTAATCTTCTCAGCCCGGATTGGGCCTGACAGGCTGGGCAGAAGCAAGCTGCCCCCTATTAGATCTAAATTATGTCGATGGTGATGTAAAAAATACTTTCAATAGATTTGTTAGTGTGTTCACGCGCGCGTGTGTGTGGTCTTTATACGGGATGCCCATTGAAATGATCGGTTCGAACCGGTAGACGAGAGAGAGAGAGAGAGAGAGAGAGAGAGAGAGAGAGAGAGAGAGAGAGAGAGAGAGAGATTTAATGATTTAATGCATAGGTTTTACACTCACATCAACACGATTTAGATGATTTAGGAATGGGCTTCCAACCGTGCCTGTCCGGGCCAAGCAGGAGAGAAAGGGACACATCCCAGTAGAAAGAGCAAAATACTCAATACAAATTCTCGCCACTCGAGAACCGACCTCGGGTCTCCAGCGTTAGCCTAGACCCACACAGGAGTCGGGCCCAACTGTCAGAACCGACACGGTGATTTTTTTGGCGCCACCGGTACCCGACGGTGAGACAACATCAGTAAATAGTAGAAAATTGCGTGTGTTTTTTTTAAGTAGAGGTTTTACGGCGCTCGCATCTGCATAAGGTCATATGAGCGCCAGAAGATTAGAGGTTTTACAAGAGAGTAACAACCATAAAAAAGAAAAAGGGGAGATAAAGGACGATAGATGTTTGATAGGAAAGAAGGAGCAAACCACACCAGAGCACCCGCCAACGACCCACCTAAATGGCGTGTCACAGAAGGAGAAAGTTGTTGTTCTTGTTGTGGTTAAGAGGGAAGTTACGAAGACACGTCTGAAGAACAAATTGTGTAGTGCTGGTGACAAGACACCTGATGCCCCATCCTCGAGTGCTTTAATCTTGACTAAGGATACACGCTTGTAATGACAACAGTGCAGAGGAAAAGAAACTTTAAGTTAATAATAAAAACGTCGTGGTGTCTAATCTAAGAGCTGGAAACAAGAAGGCAGTGAAAAGACCACTGGAATTTAATTTTCCTCTCATGAATGAATTGGAATACAGGAAAAAGACAAAAAACCCAAAGCTTTTCGAATTTTAGCTTTGGATAAATATTAAGAATGTACAAAATCCACAGCAAATTTTGAAGAACTCTCAGCATTAAAAAAACAGAAAGAAACGAAGAAGAAAGTGCCTTCAACTATGCAGATGATAAAAGTGCACGAGCGTGATCTTTTTTCTTCGGCATGACTACTCAAGAATTTTGAACGGTTACCTTGAACAATATAAAGAAACAGAAACGCTTGTTGAACAGCACCATAGAACGTCTGTACAGAAAATAGATGTGGCGTCGGTGGCCTAGTGGTTAGGCTCTCGGAATCGCAACCGTGAGGTCGTAGGTTCGAATCCCGTCAGGGGCCCGACATTGTATCCTTGAGAAAGACAATTTACTGGTATGTTCCTCACTTCACCCAGGCCGAAATGATAATGAATACCCGGCTATACGCATTGAAAGATCTTTCAGTTTGTTACTAATGTTAGTGTTTGAGCGCCAACAAGGTTTCTGAATGATCTCAGAGGGTCTTGTGGGGCGCACACAGCAGGCCGTAGAGCGTGGATAGGTGCTTTTGTTACGCGTTTCGTTCAACCAATAGTTTTGCGAGCCTTTGTCGGCTGAAGCTATTTAGGTTTATTAACCCTTTCCGCAGCGAAATATTTCACATCTTATACACAAAGACTGGGTGGTGTACACCCGTACAATCTGATATAGAGAAATAATCGACATACGTCTGAAACCAAGTGGGTGGGCTGGTTACACCCTTACGCCCAGGATGAATGGAAGTTTGTTTTGTGGATGGTGAATTGTATTTAGAATATTAACAAGTATTCATTTAATTAAATCAGAATGATTGCCCCTTAACTGTGTCAAGTAGAACTATGAGACAAAAGTGACTTCTGACTCTGATCAGGAAATATGGCAACCACCCGAATAGGTTTGTGATTTGGACACGTAAATTTTCTTCTGATGCTTGATCTAATGTCTCTTTAAAGAAGACTGTTAATGCTATGTACAAAAGCACAAAAAAATTATAAAAATGTGACATATGAATCGGTTCTGAGAGGCTCAAACTCCATTTAAAAAATACATCCTTCGAATATATATTTGGGACTGCCTGTAGCGGTTACGTTATGTCTCAGGGAGACTTTCCTTTAGTTTATCAGTAACAAAATCATCAAAACTGTAATTGAGTCCACAGGTAAAGTCCGCAAAGAGTGTCATAGTACAAAAGGACAGATGGAGCCCAACAGACGGAAATGAAAGTCTCACTTTGGCAGCCTGTGGCACACACGCAGTTTCAATCAAACTGTCCCGTGGCACCCACTTCATCCCTTTGCTAATGAAAATATGACTGTAGTTAAACAGCCCCCCCCCCCTTTTTTTAAAGGAAGTTGGAGCTTTATGTTCAGTAAGCCTGACACATGCATGTGCAGCATAACGATTCCTGGTGCATCAACTGCTCATCTCCTTGGAGGCAAGCTTTATTTGGACAGAATCAACAAGTCCCAGACTCGACACTGAAAAGACGACCGGAGTGGATTTCAATACAGTCACTAAACTTGCTGTTGATTTCAAGGGGAGAAGACATAATGTACTAGGGAGTTCAATAAGTCTTTTGTCTGGGTACGAAGGAATCATTCTAGAGTAATGAAATTTCACTGGCCTTTAGACAATTCCTTGGGAACACACCATGCAAATTTTCAGGAAAATCCGACAATAATAAGCCACTTGTCTGCGTGTTCAATGAAACAATGCACAAAACCGTTTGTGTTTCTTTGTTGAAGCTGTGCCATGGAGCCTGTTGAATACCGCTCAGTTATCAAGTTTTTTACACTTGCAAGGAAAATTCCCTTCGCACATTTTTTAGGAAATGGTAAAAGTTCATGGTGACAAATTATGTCTTGTGACATACTGGAAAAGAAAATTCAAATCTGGATTCATGTTATTGGATGAAGATGATGAAGGGTGCCTATCCTTTGTGGTGACAGAAGAGAATGTGTATCCAAAGTGAAGAAACTGGTTCTAAAATACCGACGAATAACTGTTAAACAGCTCTCAAGTGAAACGAGAATCAGTGTAGGGTCAATAGAAACAATTCTCCATGACCACATTAACATGAATAAGGTGTCTGCGCGATGGGTACCCCGCCTTTTGACATGTGAGCAAAAGAAGCAGTGGGTTGAGTCCTGCAAAACTCTCCTTCGATTTGAGAGCAATGACATAATTTAAAAAAATAAGGTGACTATAGATGAAACAGGGATTTATCATTTTGATCCAGAACAAAAAAATGTCCTCCATGCAATGGTAAACCCCTTCTTCTCTCTCGCCAAAGAAGGCAAAGGTAACACCGTCAAATGGAAAGGTCTTGCTGTCATGTTTCTGGGATTGTGAAGGTATCATCGTGACTGACTACCTGGACAGTAGAAAAACAGTCACAGGAGACTACTACTCGGGTTTGTGGATACAATTTCAGTCCGAATCGGTGAGAAAAAGGCGTGGACAACTTCGTAATGGGGTCCTCCTACGGCATGACAACGCCCCTGCGCACATGGCACAACAAGCAGCCCAGACAACAGAGC